CATTTTTGTATTTTAGTAGAGATGGGTTTCACCATGTTAGCCAAGCTGGTCTTGAACTCCTAACCTCAGGTGATCTGCCCACCTTGGCCTCCCAAAGTGCTGGGATTACAGGCGTGAGCCACTGCACCCAACCGTATTTTTATTTCTATAATAAAGATAAAGAGATATAAATATACAAATTCACTAACATTCCTATAGAGAAGCAATCTAGAAAAGAAACTGAGGAAAGTTGCTTAAGAATAAACAACAGAATGCAATGATTTTACAAAGAAAATTCAAAATTTTAAGAAGCTGTGCAGGTAACTCCTAAATGTCTACTTTAGTTCAGCATCAGCATCATCTGGTCATTTGTTGGAAATGCAAATTCTGGCTGGTCGGAATGCAGTGGAGTTTACAAGTCATTGATCACAACTAGTTACAGATTTGTTTCTCCTCCACTCCCACTGCTTTTTTTTTTTTTGGACTAGCCAAAAAAAGAAAGAAATGCAAATTATTTGGTTCCACCCCAAACCTACCAATTTAGAATTTCCAGGGTGGGGCTTAGGCATATGCATTTGAAACCTCTTGAATATGATACTCAATTGCCTACTGGATTTATATATTCATATCCCACAGAAACCCAAAACTCAACAAGTCTCAATATAATCTTCTCCTCCCCTACCAACTTACTGATCCTTTTTTTACTAAGGAAACAATCATACCACCAAAAAGACTAATGTCAACCACAACTTCTCAGTCTTCTTCATGTCTGCCATCTAGCCAATTGCCAGGTCCTTTTGAGTCTACTTCTTCACTTTATTTCCAATCTGTCTACCTCCCTCAGCTCCCTGGATACCTACATAGTTCAGGTAATGATTAGATCTACACTAGGTTGCAGCAACAACTCTTAAATGGTAGCCCTGTTTACTTAAAATAATTCAGAGAAAAAAAGGGGCAGGGGTAAGACAAATACAATAAAATGTTAATCATTAAATCTATAACTAAGGCTGTATAGATTTGAGCAAAGAGAAAAATGAAAGAGAATTGAGAACCTAGAAACATACAAACACAAAAATTGACATTTCAAAAACAGTGAGGAAAAGGGTTGATGTATCAATAAATGGTACTGTGATAACTGGATCTCCATACAGAAGATAGCAAAGTTGACTACTAACTCACATGACAAAATAAAGTGAACAATGGATCTAAATGTGAATCGCAAAACAAGTAGGCTTTTTAAAAAGAAAATATAGGAAGATGTCTTCATCACAATCCCTTCGTAGGGAAATATTTCTTAAACAGGCTAAAAAAATACTAAACATAAAGGAAAAGATTGATACATCTGACTACACTAAAATTAAGAATTTCTGTTCATCAAAATAAGCTATGAAGGTAAAACAAAATAAGCCACATGTGAAAGATTTTGAAGTACATATAATTAGCAAAGGATTTCTATCTAAAATATATAACTTCTACAAATCAATAAAAGAATCCAGTAGATAAATGAGCAAAAATCTTCAAGATGTACTTCGCAGATGGGGATACCTACATGTTCAATAAACATGTGAAAAGGTGCTCAACTTCATTAACAGCCTGATAAATGCAAGTTTAAACCACGGGCTACCACTGCACACCCTTCTGATAGGTGAAAATTATGATGCCCAGAGGCATTCACTTATTGTGTTTGTGGGAGTATAAGTCAGTCAAGGGTCTTTGGAAAACATTTTGGCATTATCTAATGACTTAAAGAGGTGCATTATCCTCCAACCTGGCAATTCCAGTCCTATATATAAACCACAGAGAAACGTGCCAATATGCATCAGGATACAAGCACAGTAACAACATTGCTTGCAGTATCTCTAAATGTGCAAAAAAGAAGCCCTCAATAGTAGAAAGAATAAATTGTAGTATACTTACTTGTACAACGAAAAAAAAATTTTTTTAACTTTTAAAAAAATAGGGTCTTGCTCTGTTGCCCAGGCTAGAGTGCAGTGGCACAATCACAGTTCACTGCAGCCTGAAACTCCTAGGCTCAAGTGGTTCTCTTGCCTCAGCCTCTCAGGTAGCTAGAACTATGGGCACATGCCACCATGCCTAGCTAGCTTTTAAAAATTTTTTGTAGAGACAGGGTCTCTCTAGGTTGCCCAGGCTTGTCTTAAACTCCTGGCCTCAAGTGATTCTCCCAACTCAGTCTCCCAAAGTATTGGAATTATAGGCATGAGTCACCATGCACAGCCAAAAACATTTTTAAAATAATTTGGAGAAGCAAATCAATAAATACATTATAAATCTTTCTATATAAAGTTCACAAACACACAAACCTAAACTATAATGAACACAAATGCAAACAGCTGATTAAACTATAAAGAAAACCAAGGAAGCTACTTTACCATAAGAGCAAAGAGATGATTGGCTTTATTGGAGGATGAGGATGAGCACACGGAAGGCTTGCAAGAAACCTAGCAGTGTTGTGCTTATTGACCTTGGTCACATGGGTGTTTGCCTTATAGTAATTTATTAAGTATACATGTATGTTCATGCATTACTTCTGTCTGTGGGTGATATTTCACAATGAAAAGAATTTTCAAAATAAGATACTGGAAGGAACACATAAAAACTTCAAGAACTGTGTTAAAGTAGTAGAATCAGGCTGGGCGCAGTGGCTCACGCCTTTAATCCCAGCACTTTGGGAAGCCTAGGTGGGCGGATCACAAGGTCAGGAGTTTGAGACCAGCCTGGCCAACATGGTGAAACCCCATCTCTACTAAAAATACAAAAATTAGCCAGGCGTGGTGGCAGGCGCCTGCAATCCCAGTTACTCGGGAGGCTAAGGCAGGAGAATCGCTTGAACCCGGACAGCGGAGGTTGCAGTGAGCTGAGATTGTGCCATCACACTCTAGCCTGGGGTACAAGAGTGAGACTTTGTCTCAAAAGAAAAAAAAAAAAGTAGTAGAATTAGAGGCAACTTCCATGCTTTCCTTTTTCCTCACTTCCTTCGTACATACTTTTATCGGTTTTGTTATTTTTTAATTCAAAAAGGATATTTTTCCTCATTTGCTCCCACTAAATGAAGTTTCCCTGCACCTGTTCCACCTCATGGCTTCAGCCCACATTAGTACCTCCTTTGCAAATCCTTCTGGACATTCTCCTAACGAACTCTGCAGCATTTCATATTAACAACCACTACTCTCCTTAAAGCTACAGCTCAGTTTTCATGGCACCTGTTTCATCAGTCCTAAGCTGCTGCCTCATAAAATGTATGCATTCCTCCTTTTTTCTCTAAAAATCAGTGTACCTCCATTAAACATCTGCTGTAGGCCAGGCGCGGTGGCTCAAGCCTGTAATCCCAGCACTTTGGGAGGCCGAGACGGGTGGATCACGAGGTCAGGAGATCGAGACCATCCTGGCTAACACGGTGAAACCCCGTCTCTACTAAAAAATACAAAAAACTAGCCGGGCAAGGTGGCGGGCGCCTGTAGTCCCAGCTACTCGGGAGGCTGAGGCAGGAGAATGGCGTGAACCCGGGAGGCAGAGCTTGCAGTGAGCTGAGATCCGGCCACTGCACTCCAGCCTGGGCGACAGAGCGAGACTCCGTCTCAAAAAAAAAAAAAAAAAAAAAAAAAACTGCTGTAAAATCAACTATAGAACTTACAGAACTTACAAAATTCAGAACTTGGCCGGGCACGGTGGCTCAAGCCTGTAATCCCAGCACTTTGGGAGGCCGAGACGGGCGGATCACGAGGTCAGCAGATCGAGACATCCTGCTAACCAGTGAAACCCGTCTCTAAAAAATACAAAAACTAGCCGGGCGGGTGGGGGCCTGTAGTCCAGTACCGGAGGCTGAGGCAGGAGAATGGCGTAACCTGGAGGCGGAGCTTGCAGTGAGCTGAGATCCGGCCACTGCACTCCAGCCTGGGCGACAGAGCGAGACTCTGTCTCAAAAAAAAAAAAAAAAAAAAAAATTCAGAACTTACAGAATTCATCACCTTTTCTCCAAAAATGACCCTTTTCTGTCTGTTTCTCTACTAAAATCTGTATCCAAATTATCCAAGCCTAAAACGCCAACTGGAAATTCCTTTTTTCACTGCTGAACTGCTAATTTGAGGATATCTAATGCAAGTTATTTAGACACATCACTAGGCCATGAATTCCTTGATAGTTATTACACTTTTATACACCCTCTAGTCTCTGTAGCATTTAATAGAGAGTCTTAAGATTGACAAGATTAAAATTTCTGTAAATATTAAGAGTGTATGTGAAGGAATAAATATCAGTTAATTAAAGAGTAATGAGCTAATCCTTTCCAGGTGATTAAATAGAACAGCAATATATGTACTTTTTAATTTTTCTTTCTTTCTCAGGTTGGATTTAGGCAATAGAAATATATGTCCATTTGAAGAAAGAAAGGGAGGAAAAAACAAAAAGAAATGAAATTCACAGACCAGACAGAACGAACAATGACAACAAAAAAGATACCTGTGAGAAAGTAGAGGAAGTATAAAGTGAGAACTGGTTGAGTATGTTAGCTGTTACGTAATATAGAAAAAACAAAGAGAACTGGGTATGAAGTAGTCCTTTATGGAGTTGTAAGTGAAACTTCAGTCTTTATATCTCTGGTATTTTTTTTTTTGAGACACAGTCTCGCTCTGTCGCCCAGGCTGGAGTCAGTGGCGCAATCTTGGCTCACCACAAGCTCTGTCTCCCGGGTTCACACCATTCTCCTGCCTCAGCCTCCCAAGTAGCTGGGACTACAGGCGCCGCCACCGCACCCGGCTAATTTTTTGTATTTTTAGTAGAGACAGGGTTTCACTGTGTTAGCCAGGATGGTCTCGATCTCCTGACCTTGTGATCCACCTGCCCTGGCCTCCCAAAGTGCTGGGATTACAGGTGTGAGCCACCGCGCCCGGCCTATCTCTGGTATCTTTAAGGGAAAATTTTCCAATCAACATATTAAAAAGTATTCCTTTCTCATTGACTAATTGGTTTTAAAAAATTTTCCCATCAGCTTCCAACTCACTCACCTGAAAACAGGTCTCTGTTCACATTCCTTTTCCCCAGCCAGGGTTCTTTCCCTTGCTCCAATAAGGAAACCACATCTGGCTTAGAAATGGAAAGACCTGCTTGCAGAAAATGAAATAAATTCAAAATCAGTTGTTGAATCCTAACAAGGGCCACAAAAGAAATGTCAGATGGAAGTTTTTAAAATGTCTAAAAATAAGGTACACTTACGTCCCCATCTTACTAATTTTAAGAAACCCCATACCTATCTTGGGAATATTCAGCCAGATAATTATAACAGCCACCCTAAAGGTCAAATTTTGACTTGAGGGAGATGAAGAGGAATAATTACCCAGTGAGACCAGATGGCCATAGTTCTCCAACATTACACATCGGTACAGATCTCTCTGAGCAGGCTGAAGCCATTTCCACTCCTCCTGGGAGAAGTCTATGGCCACATCTCTGAATGTCACTGACCCCTGAAATGACACACAGATATCTGCATGACCAGGACCCATGCTCCCAAACTCCCTGCAAGTGTAAAATGAGTCGCACTGTGGAGGTTAGGCAATGTGTCTAAGTAGCAACAATGGGAGTTTTCAGAATTCTGAGTAATTATATAATGAAGAGCCTAGCTTTTGTGTTTTGTTGCGTAACTGGAGAAAAGGAGAAAAAACATAAATTATCTGTCCTGAGACAATTTACAGTTTTGTTCAAAATAAAGGATTATACATATGAACAATATGGATTTTTGGCATTGGTTGTAAAAATTCTTAAGATTTTACAGTATTCCTTTATGTTAATAAACAATGTATATTTTCCTTAATATCAGCCTATTTTTTTTTTTTTTTTTTTTGAGACGGAGTCTCGCTCTGTCGCCCAGACTGGAGTGCAGTGGCCGGATCTCAGCTCACTGCAAGCTCCGCCTCCCGGGTTCACGCCATTCTCCTGCCTCAGCCTCCCGAGTAGCTGGGACTACAGGCGCCCACAACCGCGCCCGGCTAATTTTTTGTATTTTTAGTAGAGACGGGGTTTCACCGTGGTCTCGATCTCCTGACCTTGTGATCCGCCCGCCTCGGCCTCCCAAAGTGCTGGGATTACAGGCGTGAGCCACCGCGCCCGGCCAATATCAGCCTATTTTAATATAATTCAGCCAGAATTTCTTCAGGGTAATAATTGGCTATAGCAGATAATAGCAGCACCCTTCAAATGGGGCATATAGTCTCAAGTTTGTTCCAGTCATCCCTAATCCTAAATAAATACCTGTGAAACCTAGTGGTAATTTTGTCAATGTCACAGAACAAGGAGGATAGGCAGTAAAGAATCTTGATTCTGCAAGAAGAGAATGTAACACCTCCCAGGATAGAACCTAAAGCACTTTCCCTCGGAGTTAGGGAGAAAAATATAGAAGCCCTTGCTTTGCAGCCTGGTTTTGCACCACTTGAGTGATCCACATAGATCTATAAGGCATGAATGGGAATTTAAAAGGTCTCAAACTAGTAGCAGCCCCAGATGGATGGCAGTTATATTTTACAGTTTTGAAGTTTAATAAAAAAGTGATTAAAGACTGTTGACTAATAAAGCAGCTGTTTCCTACACAGCAAGATCTGCAGCAGAGGTGAAAATTGGATTCCCTAGAAAAACTCAGAAAGCCTCTGAATTTGGAGAGAAGTATGACAAAAAGTAGGACAAAGAAGTGGAACTGAAAATGAGGGACTCATTTTGAATAGTTGACCCTGTTATCCCCACTGCTGTGAAGCACAATTACCAGCCAAACTCTTAGCCCCAATCAAAATAAAAATGTGTTCCTTATGTCATGTCAGAAAAATGAGCTCTATGGGTTCAGAGATTTTGTTTTGGTCACTTCTGCATCCTCCAGACATAGAATGAGCTGAGCGTTAGAAGCACTTGGAAGGACTGTTAGATTGCTGGGCCAAATTCCCAGTTTCTGATTCAGAAGGTCTGGGGTAGGACTCAAGAATATTCATTTCTAACAAGTTCTCAGATGATGCTGATACTGCTGGTCCAAGGATCACACTGTGGGAACCACTGAAAGTAGAGGTTCGGTAAGAACATATTCAATAAATGAATGAAGGGGCGCTGGAGTAACGCAAAGCACTCCTCGTTCTAATACTGTGGGAAGAAGAGGCAATGTAACAGCTGGCACCCTACCCTCCCACCCTAAAACATACCAGCCAGGTCAGAAATCCCGCCCACATCTGGATAGTTTCCTGTCACTCTCTTCATGTATACTTAAGTATAAGCACCTGAAAAGGAGGAACAGGGGACAGGGTCCTGGGGTTCCGCCAGGCAGGTGGTTGTAAGAGAAAGCCACGTCCCAAGTCCTGAAAAATACGGCTGCACTTCACAAAGAAAAGAGGAGACAGGCTCAATGGGTTGGCTCACTTGAGGCCAAGAGTTTGAGGTTACAGGATGCTATGATCGCCCCACTGCACTCCAGCCTGGGCGACAGGAGGAGACTCTGTCTCTGTCTTTCAAAGAAAAAAAAAAAAAAAATATATATATATATATATAAATATATATATATATATATCATCAGCTTACCTGAGACATAGCTCACAGAAGGGACCGAGGAGATCAGAAAGTGTAAAATGGCAGACCTGGCAGAGAGAGGAGCCCTGAGCGAACGGGCCAGCTAGGCCGCGCCCAAGTCACTAGATCCCGCACTGGGGATTCCCGTGGTCCCCGCTCCGCGCCTCCCACGTAGAGAGCGGGGCCCCGAGAGAGGGCGCTTGGACCACCGGCGCCGGCTTTCTCCTCCTGCCACGGCGCGCCTCCCCAGAACCCGGCCACCTAACAGTGGCCACAGGACGGCGCGTTTCCGTTGTGCTTCCGGCCAGGTGGGTGTCGCGTTCCGGGGCTCCGGACCGAGTCACCGCCCGGAGCCATCCGGCGCAGACCGGGGTACTCCTTTCCTTGCCTACACAGGCCAGACGCTCGGAGCCGCCCCCGAGGGCCCCACCGCGGGCGTCGCAGGAATGCGTCTTCAGGAGCCTCGCGGACGTCACCCCACCAGGCCGCCTGCCTCAAAAACTACAATTCCCAGAAACCAATGCGGCCCTACGCGCAAGGGCATACGGTTTTCGTTCCTATTGGATCTCCCAGAGCGCCGCGCTCCCGCGCGAGGAAACAAAGAACGAGGGCCTGGGACAACTACAATTCCCAGAAGGCCCCGCGGCCCCGCGCTCCAGAGCATAGGGCTATCCTCCCACCCCAGAGCCTAGGAACAAAGAACTCGGGACCTAGGCAACCACACTTCCCAGAAACAACCGCGGCCCCCCGCGGGAGACTACACAGGGCTTTCGGTTCTTATAACTCCCCGCGTGCCTCTCGGCCACACGCACAACCAGCCGAGAAACGAAGAACGCGGGACTCAGGCAACCACACTTCCCAGAAACAACCGCGACCCCGCTGGAGAAAGCAAATGACTTTCCCCGCCCCACTACAACTCCCAGGGTGCCTTGAGGCCACGCGCACATCACCGAAAGACAAAGAACACGAGCTTCAGGCAACTACACTTCCCAGAACCTCCTGCGACCCTGCGCAAAAGGGCGGAGGACTGTCTTCCCCTACTACGACTCCCAGAGTGCATCGCGGCCACGCCCAAAGCCGGAAGACTATGTAGGGCTTTAGCGACTAGATTCCCCCAAACTCCTGCGGCCCATGAGAGAGGGTATAGGGTTTTCCTCCCGTACTACGACTCCCACAGTGCCTCGCCGGCGTGCACACACCGCCCAGAGACAAGGAACTGGAGACTCAGGCGAACTACACTTCCCAGAACCCACCGCGACCCAACAAGAGCCCGAGACCGCAACTATTAAATAACTAGGATACTTAAAGACTGTGGAGTCAGTACTTCAGTCCAAGACCTTTTGTTACTGGAAAGGGGTCTGGATCTCAGACTCTAAGAGAGGGTTCTTGGATCTCGCACAAGAAAGAATTCGAGGCGAATGCATAAAGTGAAAGCAAGTTTATTAGGAAAGTAAAGGAATAAAGAATGGCTAATCCATAGGCAGGGCAGCCCCGAGGGTGCTGGTTGCGCATTTTTATGGTTATTTCTTTATTATATGCTAAACAAGGGGTGGATTATTCATGCCTCCTCTTTCTAGACCATATAGGGTAACTTCCTGATGTTGCCATGGCCACTGGTGGGCAGTGAGGACAATCAGAGGTCGCTCTCATCACACATCTTGGTTTTGGTGGGTTTAGTCGGCTTGTTTACTGCAACCTGTTTTATCAGCAAGGTGTTTATGACACGTATTTTGTGCCAACCTCATATCTCATCCTGTGACTAAGAATGCCTTAACCTCCAGGGAATGAAGGCCAGCAGGTCTCAGCCTTATTTTACCCAACTCTATCTACCCCTACTAAAGATAGAGTTGCCCTAGTTCAACCACCTCTGACAGTGGAAGTTGTAGCACTGAGGACAGCCAGAAGTCACTCTCATTGCCATCTTGGTTTTGGTGGGTTTTAGCCGGCTTCCTTACTGTAAACTTTTATCAGCAAGGTCTTTATGACCTGTATCTCATGCTGACCTCCTGTCTCATACTGTGACTTAGAATGCCTAACGGTCTTGGAACGCAGCCCAGTATGCCTCAGCCTTATTTTACCCAGCTCTTGTTTAAGATGGAGTTGCTGGGAGCAGTGGCTCATGCCTGTAATCCCAGCACTTTGGGAGGCCGAGGCGGGCAGATTACCCAAGGTCAGGAGTTTGAGATCAGCCTGGCCAACATGGTGAAACCTCATCTCTACTAAAAATACAAAAATTAGCCGGGTGTGGTAGCAGGCGCCTGTAATCCCAGCTACTCGGGAGGCTGAGGCAGGAGAATCACTTGAACCCGGGAAGCGGAGGTTGCTGTGAGCCAAGATCTTGGCATTGCACTCCAGCCTGGGCAACATAGTGAAACTGTGTCTCAAAAAAACAAAACAAGGCCAAGCGTGGTGGCTCACGCCTGTAATCCCACCACTTTGGGAGGCTGTGGCTGGCGGATCATGAGGTCAGGAGTTTGAGACCAGCCTGACCAACATGATGAAACCCCATCACTAAAAATAGAAAAATTAGCCGGGCATGGTGGTGCGCACCTGTAATCCCAGCTACTCAGGAGGCTGAGACAGGAGAATTGCTTGAACCTGGGAGGTGAAGGTTGCAGTGAGCTGAGATGGTGCCATTGCACTCCAGCCTGGGCGACAGAGCGAGACTGTTCAAAAAACAACAACAACAACAGCAAATAATGATAATAAAAACACAAGATGGAGTTGCTCTGGTTCAAACACCTCTGACACTTTGGCTTCGTATAACTGTAATAACCAGAATCGGTGCAACACTCCCTGGCCACCTTGAAACAGTGGTCTCAGAGGATGCGACCCCGAGTCCCCTGTGGCCTTATGGACGACCCCGACTGTACCTGGTACTGGCACAGCCACGGCTTCTCCCTTTGGGAACCACCCACCCTTGAGCAGTCTCATGTTACCTGAGAAGGAAGGCAGACGCTGGAGCGGCCCTGGTTTTTCATGTGCTCCAGCTGGAGCCCTCCCCCAGAAGCCTTCTGGAAAGAGGCACTGGATCTACAGGGGCTGGACGCCCAGTGACCTGGGAGCGCCTTTACTCCCAACGTTGTGTGGGGCACTGTCCTGGGCATGTAGGAGAGGTTTGGGGAAGCAAGCCAGTCACATCCCTGTCCTTGAAGAACACCAACTGAAATACGAGGTAAGGGAAAACTCAACCCACTGAGTCAAAGGAGTATTGTTCCAGATCAAGGGAACAGTTTATGAAAAAGAGAGACAAAAAAGAAAAAGCCCATTATACAAAATGGAAGAGGGCAAAAAAAAGAGGAAATTCACTGACCTGGTGAAAAGACAGGAGACTGAAAAAAAAAGTCCTTGTGAAGGCGCTTGGATGTCGCTCAGTAAGCTGGGAAGGCCCATTAAAATTCTAAGGAGGATGTGTATAATCATATTTGCATTCCACTGCCCGTGTTCATGGTGAACTGAAGGGAAGAAGGCCACTAGGGGCAATAGTTAAATATTCTGGAAACTAATCTGAACTGGTGCAGAGAATGGATTGAGGGGATTTATTTGAGAAACAATTTAAAGGGAGAATCTAAAGGACTGGGTGATGAATTGGATATCATCCAATTAAATAGAAGGGAAGGAAGAACTAAGTTTCTTGTTAGGGTGATATGCTCAGAGAATTTCCTTCTTTAAAGACTTACGCCATGGCCGTCCACTCTTATGGCTTCAGCTTCCAGTTACCCTACAGATGACGCACCCAGATCTCATAGCTATTTTGTTTCACTGAGATGATGAACCCAGGAAAAGAAACAAGTTCAGAAGAGAAGAAAATTAATTTGGGGACATATAGAGAATGATGTGTGCATGTTTAACTTTATTAATATTGGCCGGGTGCGGTGGCTCAAGCCTGTAATCCCAGCACTTTGGGAGGCTGAGATGGGCGGATCATGAGGTCAGGAAATCGAGACCATCCTGGCTAACACGGTGAAAACCCGTGTCTACTAAAAATAATACAAAAAATTAGCCGGGCGAGGTGGCGGCGCCTGTAGTCCCAGCTACTCGGGAGGCTGAGGCAGGAGAATGGCGTGAACCCGTGAGGCGGAGCTTGCAGTGAGCCGAGATCTGGCCATTGCACTCCAGCCTGGGTGACAGAGCGAGACTCCATCTCAAAAAAAAAAAAAAACAAAAACAAAAACAAAAAACAAACTTTATTAATATTGTCCAAATTATCCTTTCTAACCTGGAATCTTGCCGAAGATTTCACTTCATCCGTTTCCCCATATCTTTTCTTCACACCGAAGTCAGCCTGATTTTTACAAAGCAATTCTGCTCATATTCTTCTGCTTAACATAACTTGATGATTTTAATTGTTCTTAAGTAAAGGCAGAAGTCCTTAATGTGGTCCACAGGCTGCAGGATCTTACTCCCATCTTTTCAAGCTTTTCTTACTGACTTTCCTCCTCTCTAACTGCACTTTGTTTCCTCAAATGTCATGTGCCTAAGGATCTTTGAGCACGTTAATTCCGTCTGAAAAAAAAAGGTGACTATCCCTTCACACCATAACCTCATTAGTTCATTTCAGGTCATCCTTTACACTTCAGCCCAGCAAGTCTTGCTTAGAGAAGTGCTCTTTGATCCCATTGTAATCAGTAAGGTCCCAATGATTATGCCCTAGACTTACTCTCTTTAGCATTTACTTAATTTGCAATTATGTTTGTAATTTTGTACTTATGTTCGTGTGATTATTTTGTTAGTGATTACATCACTAGACTGTAAGCACCATGAATCTAGACACCATTTTGTTCATCACTGTACCCATGATGACTACTATGCTACTTGGTGCTCAGTGAATATTTATTGACTGAAGGAATGATACATATTATCAAATTTTAACTTTTGTCGTATTGTGAGGTAAAGTGATATCGTGTTTTAATTTACTTTTTATGATAATATGAAACTGATTATTGACTAGTGTCTATCTTCTGTGAAGATAGCAAAGGCTATGAACCATTATTTTGCTATGAATCACTTTTCTATTAGGAGCCCTATGTTTTTATAATTAATTTGTAGAAGCTCTTTGCATAGTGGGATTTTATGCCTTTTGTATATATGTTGCAAATATAGCATATTCTCACAAGTCGTTACTTATATTTTCCCTTGTATATAGTAAGGTTGTGTGCTATAAGCTTTTTTTTTAAATTTTATTTTTCTAGACAGAGTCTCATTCCATCACTCAGGCTGCAGTACAGTGGCACGATCTCAGTTCACTGCAACCTCCACCTTCCTGGGTTCAAGTGAGTCGCATGCCTCAGCCTCCCAAATAGCTGAGAATACCGGCACACGCCACCGCGCCTGGCTAATTTTTTTTTCGTTTTTTAGATGGAGTTTCACTCTTGTTGCCCAGGCTGGAGTGCAATAGCACAATCTCAGCTTACTGCAACCCCTCCTCCTGGGTTTCAGCTATTTTCCTGCCTCAGCCTCCCAAGTAGCTAAGATTACAGGCACCTGCCCAGCTAATTTTTTGTATTTACAGTAGAGACGGGCTTTCACCATGTTGGCCAGGCTGGTCTTGAACTCCTGACCTAAGCTGATCTGCCGGCCTTGACCTCCCAAAGTGCTGGGACTACAGGTGTGAGCCACTGCGCCCAACCTGTGCTGTAAGTATTTACGTAGTCAAATCTAAAAGTCTTTTCCTTTCTGGCTTTTGAATTTCTCTTGTTTAAAAAGGGTATCCATATACCAATGTTTAAAATATTTCCTACACTCTTAATTTTCCTTATATTTGGGTCTCTTTCTGAATCTTCTATTTTGTTACATGGATCTCATGGCCTATTTCTGTGCCAATATTATATGGTCTTAATTACTGTAGCTTTCTGGTAAGGCACATCCTCTCTTACTCTTTCTTTTCTCATTTTCTAGACTATCTTATGTGTTTTACCCTGTAGATAAATTTTATTATTTATTATTTATTTATTTATTTGAGATAGAGTCTCATTCTGTTGCCAGGCTGGAGTGCAGTGCCGCGATCTTGGCTCACTGCAATCTCTGCCTCCTGGATTCAAGCGATTCTCTTGCCTCAGCCTCCTGAGTAGCTGGGAGTACAAGCGCCCACCACCACACCCAGCTAATGTTTGTATTTTTATTAGAGA